GGCGACGGCGTAGGCTGCAGCCCCTGTGTCAGTGGGTTGCCATGGGCTGCCGTATGTAGCCAGTAGACAGCGTGAGCGGCCAGCAGCCGCAATGAGCGGCCGTCCAGAAGCCGGCGACTGATCTCCCTCAGCTGGGAAGAGCGCAATGATGGTGCCAACTTGGGCCAGTGAAGCAATGTCCTCCACAACTAGACTGAAGAACAAAACAGCAACTTGTCTGTTCCCCTTCCCCCAATTCCCCAGCACTGTTCCCACCCCCCAATTCCCCAATTAAAAAAAAAAATCTTTAAAAAAACAAACAACATTTAAAAGAAAATAAAAAAGCAAAACAAATAAGCCAGACAATATTAAAAATATTCATAATACAATAAAAATATTACTAGACATGTAAAAAAGCAGAAAAATGTGACATAACCAGGAGAAAATTTAGTCAATAAAACAGATCCAGAAATGATAGGTAATGGAATAAGCAGACAAGGACTTTTTTTCCTTGTCCTTTTTTTTCTTTCTTTTTTTTCCTTAAAATTTATTGCAGTGACAATGGTTAGAAAAATTACATAGGTTTCAGGTGTACAATTCTGTAATACATCATCTGTATCTTCATGTGTTCACCACCCGAGTCAGTTCTTCTTCCAGCACCATATATATTTGACCCCCTTTACCGTTTTCTACTATAGACAGGGACTTTTTGAAAGCTATTATAAAAATAATTTTTAAAGGATTTTTTAATGTTAATGTAATGAACAAAGAAATAGAAAATATAAAAACAAACCAAATATTCTTCTAAAGGTGAAAAATTATCTGAATGGAAAAAAATCTCTGCATGGGCTTAATAGCAGTTTAGGTACCATTAAAGAAAACATCAGTGACTTTGAAGACAGGGCAATTGAAACTAAAACACCAAGAGGAAAAAAAACTGAAAAATGAACACAATCTCATTGACCTGTGGGACAATACCAATACATTGTGTATTTGAAGTCCTACATTAGAGATAAGGTAACATAAAAATATATGAGGAAAAAGTGGCCAAAAATGTTACAAATTTCACAAAATAGACAAACCTACAGATCCAAGACACTCAACAAATCTCAAGCAGGCTACTATAGCAAAGCCCTTTATAATCAATTCACAGAATACCAAAGAGAAGAAAATCCTAAAGGCAGCCAGAGGAGAACACACACATTACATATAGGGAAAAAAGATAAGAAATGGTTTCTCATCTGAAACAATGCAGTCAGAAGACAATGAAAGACTCCTTCTTAATGAGGCCTACCTTGGCTGCCGTATTGAAAGCCACAGTCCCTTCCTACATATTCTGCCCCCCTTACCCAGACCTGTTCATGTTCTCCATGGCATTTATCATTTTATAATACATTGCATAATTCCATATTTATGTGTTTGTCTCCTTCACTAGAATGTAATGTTTTTTTTCCCTGATTTGTTTACTGATATATCTTTAACATCTAGAAAAATGACTTGAACATAATAGCTATTTAGCAAATATTTTTTAATGAACCAATATACGAATAACAGTTATTGCTAAGTGTGTTAGTCAGGGTTCTCCAGAGAAATAAAACCAACAGGATATGTATATGTGTATAGAGAGGAAGATTTATTTTTAAGGAATTGGCTAATGTGGTTGTAGAGGAAGATTTATTTTTAAGGAATTGGCTGATGTGATTGTGGAGCCTTGGCAAGTCCAAAGTCTGCAGGGTAGGCTGGCAGGCTGGAAACCCAGGAACAGTTTCAGTTGGAGTCTATGGGCTGGCAGAGTTCCTTTTTGCTTGGGAAGTTTAGTCTTTTCCTATCAAGGCCTTCAACTGATTGGATGAGATTCACTCACATTTTGGAGAGTAATCACTTGTACTCAAAAGTCCACCAATTTAAATGTTAATCTCATCTGAAAAAAAACACCTTCACAGAACCATCCAGAATAATATTTGACCAAATATCTGAGGACTGTGGCCTAGCCAAGTTGACACATTAAATTAATTGTCGCAATAAGATGTGGAAAAACAGTAACTGTTACACACTGCTGAAATGTAAGAGTATGAGTTGGTAAACCATTAAATTTGGCAATAGCTAATAAAGTTAAAATGCACATATCCTACCACTGAGCAATTTTACTTCCTGTTATATAGAAACATATAAAAACATATAAAGCCACACTTAATTTAAGAGAAACACTTATCTAAGGCCACAATAAACATGTTCAAGAATTTTTCTAAAGTGTCACTTGTAATAAGAAAAAAGTAGAAATCTAAATGTTATTGGTGGAAAAATGGATCAATTAGTTGTGATATATTAAGTTGTCAGAAAAGTAATGACGCATTTTTGCAACGAAAAACAGAAAAAATACATCATGACTTTTCCGACAACCCAGTATTTTTAGATTGGAATACTGTACAGGAGTTAAATGAAATAAATGTACATATATCAGCATGGATTGATTTAAAAATTTATGTTGAATGAAAAAAATTAGTTGCAAAAGGATGTATATATAGCTTGATGCCACTTATATTAATTTTAACAACTCAAAACTGTAATGTTTGTTGCTTTAGTTTTTTGTCAAGATTATTTTTGCTACCTAAAATTCTCCTGTTTAATACTATAAGAAATCCACAGAAGCACAAGCCTTTATTCTCTGACTTCTTATAGTAAAGATGACTAAAGACACGCATGACCAGTGTGAACCACAAATGAACTTTACATCCAGGGCCGTTTTGCTAATTCTTACTCATCTTGAACAATTTTTAAAATATGTAACCTGTGACAAAACTTCAAAATCAGGGACATAATATTCAAAGTAACAGATTGCATGTACTTTCAGTTAAAGAATAGCCTGAATTTAATTCAAATAAAAATCACATTGAGTCATTATGACATTCAGTTGCATCTATTGATATTTCCTACTTAAATATTTCATTATGTTTTGTTAAACTGTGATTAAGAGGGAAGTACGTTAAAATTGATGTTCATCTTTTTTTCTGATAACTTTCTTATCCATTCATAAGTTTGGGGTAAACTTACTGCTTTGAGGTTAACCTTTATTTTTTTTACTTAATATTTGACAGTTCTCTCACAAAAGAATATATTCTCATCAGCCCCTGCACTGTTTTTATTTCCTTCCCAGTTGTCTGACGATGGCCGCTATGTCTTGTTATCAATAAGGGAGGGATGTGACCCAGTAAACCGACTCTGGTACTGTGACCTACAGCAGGAATCCAATGGCATCACTGGTAAGTTCTCTTTCAAACACAGCTAATTATTCCAGAAAACTCGGTTAAACGCCAATTACTTCGGTCTTCTAATTGATTTCCCAGGAAACCTTCTTCCATTTTAACCGCATCATCCCAGTTCATATGATTTTCTTCCCATATTATTCCATAAAATGAAGAAGAATTGACTGAAGCTATTTGTTGGCATTAGCATTTTCTCTGTGGATTGAGGTTAACTGTATTTTTTGCATGTGAGTGTAAAAGCTATCCTGTGAGTAATGCAGATGAAGAACGTTAAGGAGAAGCTGGCCCTTTGGTCTGTGAAGCATTCTAACTGTCTGCATGTGACGGTGCGGACTGTCGCAGGCAGAGGAGGAGACCAGCGAGAGCTGAGCAGGTTAATAGGCAGTCGGATGACAGCTCCTCGGTCCTGAGCCCCACGCCCGATGACCTCTGATCTTCCTTCCCAAAGCTTTATATGTCACGATAGTAAACATAGAGCCAGTCAGTTAAAAATTCTAGAGATGGCTCATTTTAAATGTTGTTCTCTTCCAACATCTGTGTTCTACCGGCACCACCATCAAGCGGTAAAGCTCAACTGCTCAATTTACTATGCTGAAAATCCCTAGACCCAAAAACTTATCGGAGATATGCTGGTACCAGATAAAGACACTAAACAAATTATACCATGTTCCGGTTAATGTATATATATTTTAGAGATGGTGACACAGATTTTAAAAGTGTGCAACACTGAGTGTATTTCTAGTTATTAGACTACCTCATTATTGTTATTTGTATTACATTATAATGAGACAATATGTAAATTTTTTATTATTGGACATTGCATCATTTTTAAATTGATCAGAGTAAAATCTGCATCCTAACATTTGTAGATATTACAGAGCACCATTCACACATACAGAAGGAGGAAGTCAACTTTTATTCTGGTATCCATTTAATAAAGTTTGTTATTTTTCTGTTTTTTTAAAAAAGATATACCCGTTTTGATCGCGGGAAAATTACATCAACCACATCAGTTTTCACATTCTCTGACAGGAGCAAACCACCACCCAGGAACTGTTCACTTGAGTTGCAGCCCAGGTCTGCATAGCAGTGAGCAAACCTATGAAGCTAGAGTCTGCAGGGAACAGTGACAGCTGTCCCTGTGCTGTGGCCTGTACAGTATTCCTGTGTGAGTCGGAGGTGGTGGAAGGACTTGGCCTTTCTCCAGCTTGTTAAAAATTCCCATGACAGCGTTCTTCCTCCTGAGTGCTGATTTCATTTTCTATTTATTACTCTTTTTATATCTTGAAATTATTAAATAGGCTTGTTATTAAATGATACAAGTTAACAGATTAGAAAACACCGATTGCTTTATTTACTCCAAATACAGAGAAGAAAGTTTCATCCACATATTCATATATTAAACTGCTGCTGCTGTGTCCACTAATAATAATATTTTGAAGGAGACTTCCAAGTGCCAGTGGAGCTTGAGGAAACCCTTTGTTTTCTTCCTGACCTCTTGGTCTTTATCTTTTTTTTTTTACCTTATGTACTTTTTATCCCCCAACATATCATTGCAGATGTTAACTGCAGTCAGTGAGGAGTTAGAGAAGGGTGTGGTGATACCTACAGATTGGGATTTCAGAAGGAAGACAGTGCAGAGGTGCACTAGGCTCTCACAGACAAAATTCTAACAATGCTGCCATGGATGAACATGAAGAGGGAAGGTACGCATCTGAGAAACCCTAAATGGCTGTGATGCATCCAGACCGGAAGACCCTGTTTATGCAATAAGCCAGGCCCTGGCCTGCCTTCCCAGCTTGATCAGTCCTTACGTTACTTGATCGTTGTCGCCTCTGCTTTTTAGGTGGGTTTTGTGCAGCTTAAGTGAAGAGCCCAGTGCACAGTAAGGACTGCATAAATATTAGCAGTTGTTATTTTCCATATTCCCTTTTTTTCATTCTTTCAGAGGAACTTGAAGATTATTTTGTCATGATCTGAACAACAGTCCAGCTGTATGTTTGACTAGGGCTGTGTGTAAATTTATTTGGGATTAAGTTTCTCAGAGTCATATAGGAACGGTGTATTTCTTGTAACAGTTATTCCTCGGGATTTTATGTTTGTGATGGGTTGTGAAAAGTATCTGTCAAGGTTTAACCAGAGAATAAGAACCAAAAGGAGATACTTATTAAGAGATTTATTGCAAGGAGTGGGCTGAGGTGACTGTGGGGCTGGGAGGTACTCCTGGAATCAATAGGGCAGGCCCTCACTGTGAGGAAGGGCAGGCTGGAGCTCTCTGACACACTGAAGCTGCTGTCCACAGGGGGTATGTCCTTAGTTAGGGAAGCCCTGACTCTCCAGGGAGGCTTTTCAGCTGATGGAATCAGGCCCACACAGAGGAGGATAATTCCTTACTGAAAGTCGACTACTTATGATCTTTAATCACATCTTCAAAATACCTTCACAGTAACACCTAGTTCATTGTTTGATGTTGGAGAATATTAGCCTAGCCAAGTTGGCAGGTCAAAGACCATTAACAGTAAGCTCATGGAAAACCACATGGAGAGGAATAGCTCTTGTAGTCCTAACCCAGTTTCATTTTTTAATAAGGTTACTAAACTGACAAATGTTTGGAATTTACTGAGGCATTTAGAAAAGTGTGTAATATCTTATAGACAAGAAATCAGAATTTGAAGTGAATAATAAGATAGATGGGTTTGAAGCTGTTGAGTTGCGTATTAAGGGATTGGAATCACTTGGAGAGAGCTTTCCTGTGATAGCTGCGAAATTCTGGCTGTAGTGCTAGGCCTGTCATCTTTTTAAAGTTATTTCTTTACTAGCATTAAATTGTGGACAAGACAAACCTCAGAGTAGGTATTCCTTTGAATGATAGTCCTGGGACTCTTCAAACTCTTGGCAGCTGCAGTGATTGACCAGTCCTAAAAAAGGTGAGATGGCTATCATTTTCCACCCTTTGGTTCAAAAGACAGTTTTGTAGGACAAGATTAGAGAGACTTGGGTTTCGGGGTTGTTTTTTGTTTGTTTTTTAATTGATTGCCGATTCATTATCATATGGTTATGCCTGTTTAAAGAAACAAGTACTATGTGTGAATTAACTGATGAAGACATTGAGTAAATATATTCAATTTATAACAGGAGAGACATAGATTGAGATAGTGATTGTTAAAGTTTTTAAAATAATTTCTATTATAGTTGGATATATTGGGACAATAACCATAATACTTTCAGATCGGATTTGAATTTTAATCTCAGCTCGACCACTAAATAACTGGTGACCCTGAGATGGGAGAGTTCTTTTGTCTCTGAATATTTACACAACTGCAAATGGGGAAGTAATAGCCACTTCATGAGGAATAATGATAGTGCGTAGAAAAGGGCTCAGCAGGGTTCCTGGCATATAGTAGGTTCTCAAGTCTTCTTTCTTTTTCCCATTGTTTCTTGACTGAAAGGGGAATATTTGGAATCACCACATTTTGGTTTTAGGAAGCATAGTTAAATAGAAGGAGGGTGCCCTACAATAAACATTTATCTCTAGTATCAAAGCTGCTCTAAACGCGGTTCATGGTATTCACTTGTTTTCTGCAAAACCAGATTCATAATCAGAAAAGAATCCTTTCATGGAAGAAAACATAAATAGGTGGGTCTCTAGTGGGAGACTACGAGAGAAACTGTCGAATTTTGCAGGTGGATAATGTAAAATTGAGAGGGTTATATGCCCAGTCAGTGACCATGACTGTTGCCAGGGATCTTTTTCTTGCTTTTACCTGCTCCCCCATTTTTGTTATTCTTTTTAAAGTAAGGGGAAGATTACCATTTAACTTAAATGCTGAAGGTGCCAGTTAACTATCAGATGAGTTAAACCTGAATAGCCGGTGACTGAAAATTAAATCTAGTGTTATGAAATCTTCAATATTATGTTGCTAAAATTTATACCCCTTTTGATAACTTAAAGCCTTTCTGCTATGATTTTAATCTTTTTTACCTTAAAGGCGGGGAATTACCAGCATTTTTATAACTTTTCTGTCTTCTTTGTCTTCCAAGGAAACCTTTTTATCCTGTGCATTTTGAAATGAAAAGCATAAAAAAACCACAAAACAGTGGCCAGTGGCTATTTAATATCAGAAAAAGACAGCACATAGAGAAAACAGAACCACATAAACACAGGATGGAAAAAAATCTTAAAATCTTGAATTAAAAGAGTTCCCTACAAAACTGGATTTTTTTGGTCATTGACATGTATCGTGTAAATTTGAACTTCTGTGCTCTTGACTCACTGACCATCTTCCTACTTGCTGCTCCATGAGTAGGATCTCTCTCCTGTTACCCTTGCCCTCGCTTTGGAGAACCTCATTTCTGCCATTTACACGTACACGTTTGGTACACACCATAGGCCATAGCCCAGGGGTCAGCAAACTGCGGCTCACAAGCCACATGCGGCTCTTTGGGTACGTACATGTGACTCTGAAGTAATATTGAATATGAAAATAAAACTGTCATAATTTCATTTATAAAACTTCTAAAGGATATTATTCACATAATGGTGACTTCATTTGTTTTATGGCTCTCGAATAATTTTTAAATTGTTGCAAGGGCCAGGATTGGCTCTTCCGTCTCAAAAGTTTGCCGACCCCTGTCATAGCCTTTCCACAGGGACTGCAGTTGAGGCTGGTGGCTGCTCCTTCCTTACCGTTCTGGGCAGATAACGCCCCTGGCGTACCTTGTTTGTCACTGTGCAGAACCGGCAGTGGGCCAGGCCTCTGGGCCTTAGAAGTTGTTACGATTTTCCACATGTTCAAACAGCTAAGCAGGTCCCCTCCAAAGAATATTGCGCCCTTCTGCGCTGGCTCAGAGACTTGATCTGCGTCACTCTCTTCTTTCTTTGGGGAAGAGGACTTCCTGCCCAGAAGCTACCTCGTGCTTTGGGTTGATACCTTCCCCTCTACAATTGGCCTCCTGCTCCTTTCCCCTGTTCTCATTTCCTTCTCTCTCCACACAAA